TCCTCCAGCTCAAAGGTTTCCAGGCACGACCCCCAGCTGGCTGGAGGCGAAAAGCGGGGCTTTGCGGGGAGCCAATGGGCAACCTCTTCCCAGAACTGTGATTTTTGAGGTGCTGTTTCTGTTAAGCGAGGCCAGGAGTCCTCAGGAGGAGGACTGTGGAGGCTTCAGGTGGTCGAGTCCTGGAAGGGTGGCGTTAGGTGGGCGCAGGTCACTCCTTACCCATCTCTCTCTCTCTGCCAAGGATTCCTTTCTGTCCCTGAACTCTGAACTTGGCACAGGCTACTGCCTGAGCTCCAGGGGTAAATCGCCCTCCCTGAAGAACGTTGGGAGTCTGAGTGCATTGGGAAGGGCACGGAGAATGGAGAGAAATTGGGGCCAGTCGTGGGAGAAAGGGAAGGAAAATGCAAAGGACAGGCTACCCTCTCACCTGTAGGTAAAAGTTAGAAGAAACGAGTGGTTCTTTTTTACCCGAAACCAGTGCGGCTTCTGTGGCCCCCTGTGTCCCATGCTCGGGGACTTTGCTAATCACTATAATTAATTAACCTGTGACACTGTTTTTCTTCTCCTAAACGCATCACCCTGAGGGAGGGAGAGAAGTGGGCAGCAGCTATTCCATTCCTAGGTGAAGAGGCATTGCCATGACCCAAGGCCTCCAGACCCCAATCTCAAGACCCAAAATTGTCCTAGGTAACTGAATCCGAAGAAAAGGACCATGCTCTTTTCAGAATCCCAGAGAACTGAGTCAACTGAAAGCAGGCCCAGGTAGGAACCCAGAAGATGGGAATTAGCCCCCATAGCCCCACTCTGGAATGCCCCCTTCTCTTGCCTCCCCACCCCAAAACCATACCTAGGGCACCATGCTGAGGACCAAAGACCGGCAGGAAGAGCTCCCTGGACCCCAAGCTCAAGGGTGGCTCTGCCCTCCTTACTGCATATAATCAGAGATCCTGCCCACCGAGCTGAAAGCTAACAACTTTCTCCAAAGGAGTAACTTCCAGTGAAAGAATTTCTTAAAAACAAAACAAAACAAACAAAAAACAGGTAAAGTTCTCTTTCTCTACTTGGAAATACATGAGCAGAGCCAGTTACTGTCTAGACCTCTGGAGGAATGGACTCACTAAGAAATAGCTCAGGCTACCTTGAATTACTTTTCAACAATGAGCGGTGATATTGGAATTGTCGCCTGATCCTTTCCGGCAGTAGCAATGACTCCAGGAAAAGCTGGTGGTATCTCCATGGGGCTTACCCAAGCAACAGAGTGAAAAATCAGAGTACTCTTTCCGGTAGCTCAGACCCAAAACTCCTCCAAGCCATGGTAGTCATATACGTGATGCCAGAGTCAAGCTAATCTTCTGGAGTAACCATATCTTGCTAGTTGTGTAGGAAAAGGCTTATAAATGGAATGGACTCTAATTTCTCTAGTCCTGGATTTTCTGTTGCCCCGTTTTGCTCCCGCAGTTGGCATTCTCCTTAACTACCACTCAGAGAGGATGCCCACCATCTCCCCCACACTGCTAGGGAGGGGAGGAGTTCTCTCCCTGCCCCCACCTCCTTAGTGATGGTCTCTGACCCCCTTCTGCCACTGCAGCAGCCTCTCCCGGAGCCCATCCCGGGTAGAACATCTGCGCGTTTCCCCCTTGATCTCACTCGAAAGTCGGTTTCCGCGGGGGATGGGCCTCAGGTAGGCGCCGGGCACGGCCTGGGCAAAAACAGTTGCGGAGCATCTGAAGCGGAAAATCCAAGCAGATGTGGGGCGGCCTGGGCCCGCCCCTTTCCTCTTGGGGCCTCAATTTCTTCCAGATCACTTTCCTAATGGAAAATTTCTAATAGGTGGCGGGTATGTAGAGGCGTGCTGGTGCACCTCGGGGTGCGCCAAAGCCTGTGAGGCAGGACTGGCGGGGGGGTTGGGGGGATGGGGGGTGGTGAACAGGCCGTCCTCCCCAAGCTTGCTGACCTCAGTGTGTCGGCCCCCCACTCCTTCCTACAAGCCCTCTTCCTGCCCCCAGCTTCCCTTCATTCTAGATTCTGCAGGCTCCTTCCAGGCCAGCAGGGGAACTACTGTTTTTGGGTGATGCCCCGACTTCAGGGTCTTTCGTGGCTGCTATACTTCTCCCCCGCAGGCTTGTCTCTGTGCTCTGGGGGAGGCACTGGGAGGTAGCGCCAAAGCATAGACCTGGAAGTCCCCTCTGCACAAAGAGCCCTGAGAAAGGGACACGCAGCAGGTGTCCCAACCAGTGGCCACCGCTGACGCCCTTGATCACTCTAATAAGCACGATTAATGCTTTTCCCACATTACACAGCGCCTGTGGGTGTCCCTATAGAGGTCCGAGGATTTCCTTCCGATAGAAAGAGCTCTGGAACAGACCTAACCAGGAACGCACGGGGGAGGGGAGCGTTCTTCTTTCTCTATTCCATGCAGAAGTCACTGTCCTTACCACCCAGGAAACCTCGAGGTCTGCGTCCAAGTGCTTTGGGAACTTTCGATGACGAGGGCGGCGGAGGGAGCCCAGACCCGTACTGGCCTGCGTGTGTGTGTCTCTCTTGAATGAACGTTTTGGGGGTTATACAGTGCCCGTTTTGGCGTCTGCTGAGGCAGACTCTAGGGTTGGAAGTGTCCCACACCCACAATTCTACGAGTCTTCCAAACGCTCCCTTATGCCACCTCTCGAACCCCGCGACTCAGACCGGTCCGGCTGATGCGAGAGCAGCGGCGGTGAAGATGAGATCATGAGATCTCAAATACTCTTTCCCGGAAAATCCGGGAAATTTGGTTTAAGAAAAGTTTCTGTTCTTCTCACTTGTTGGGTCTCTCCCACTTCCACTTAGCCATGTTTCTGCGCTCTGAGTAATCCCTTTCAAGCCTAGGAGGAATTCTCTAGGGTCCATAATTGAGGATCGGAAATCGTGGGGGTGAGGGAAGCGTTAAATCCTCCCGAAGCCAGGAAAGTACCGGAGCACACTCACAGGCGGCCTTCGCAGCCTGCGGCGGGCCCGAGCCCGCATTTCCTTCTTCTTGGAGCCCCTTCTCCGGGTAGCCTGGAGACGACAACTGTCTGCGGAGTCAGGCGCGAGATTCCGGGCAGGGAAGCGGGCCCCGCGCCCTGCGTTTGGGTACTGCGTACCCTCACCTCTCGCGCGCTGTCCAGACCCTTCTGAACGCACCGCAGGAAACACGAAAGTGCTCCTAGATCCAAAACCCCAAGGGAAAGTGCTGCGCTCGGCATGGGGGCGGCGGGGGGGCCACCAACTCCGAAACTCGGGCTGCTCGGGGATTTCGGAGCGCCAGCCCCGGGAGCCAAGGCCACCTCTGAGGGTTCCGCTGGGCGCGGGGCTGCCGGCTCGTGGTTAAGCCGGAGTCTGCGCACACGGTCTCGCCCACCGAGGGAGCTAAGACGCCTCCAACGCTGTCGAACTTGTCCCCTTCAAAGGGATCCCCGAAAAGGTCAGGAGCGCCCGCAGCAGAATTCGTGGTCCATTTCTCGGCCCCCCAGGCGTGAGGGAGGGAGGCGGGTCCCGGGTCAGCCAGAGCGCGGAACAGCAGGCTCGCATCCGACTGGGAGGGAAAGACCGGGCCGCTGAAACGGAGATCCTAGAGCGGAGCACCGCAGCCCCCGCTTCTCTCCTCCTCCCGGAGCCAACCTCAAAATCGGGCGCGCCACAGTCGTACAGTCTGTGCCACTCGGCCGAGGTACCTGCAAGACCCCGTGCCCTGAGTCCACCACAGCTGCCCTCTGACCCCACGCGCGGAGGAAGCCAGCGTCCTCCTAGCGCGCCGGTCCGCACGGTGGCCGTAGTTTTCCAACTGCTACGAGGGTGAGAGTCGGTGCGACCGTCGGGGATTGGAGGAGAGCCGTCCCGGGGGTGGCGTGAGAGTGGGTACGAGGACTCGCGGCCCAGTGTGGACCCGAGGGAAAAGCACCAGGACGCCCTATGGCTGTGTCCCCAAGTGCGCCTTCCTACTCCAACTGCTTCCTGGCCCACCTCCTCGGGCCCTACCAATTCTCACTCCATTATTCCCGCTCGGCCACCCCCGGCCCTGAAGAACCCGCCCCAGCCGCGATTCCCCGCAATTCCGGCAGCACCGAGTCCGGCTGCGGGAGAGGGGACTGTTGTACCCTGTGCCCGCCAACGCCCTGGGCGAGGCCTGGTCTCTAGGCTTGGCTCCCCGGCCCACTCCTTTCGTCCGGCCCGCGTATCCCCGCGGCCTGCAGCCCCTCCGCGAAGGCGCCGATCTTCAGCTCCGCTGTTTCGAGGTGGGAAAGGGCCGGAGGGGCAAAAGGGGCAGAGGCTCTCTCCCGCCCTTTCCTGAGGGAGGGAGTCTTCCCTTCGGGCCTACCCCCTTTCTGCCCTCGGACCTGCAAAGTGGGGAAGGAAGGGCGCGGGACCCGCGCGAGGCTCGGAGGACTGAGTCCTCCCCGGAACGGCACATGCCGGCGGGTCAAGCCGCCTCCTTTCGGCCGCGCGCGCCCAGGACTTGTCCAGGAGCCACCCGGAGGCTTGGGCATCCCTCCCTCCCTTCCGTTCCTCCCCACCGCCCGTCCTAGCGCCCAGGTCCCGCGACCCGCTGGCGGGAGTCGGTCCCCAGGGCGCGCCGTGTGCACTTACCGAGACTTCCTCGAGGCCGGGAGCGCGCGGGCCTCTCCTGGGAGAATCCCTGGAGGCCGCGACGCGGAGGCGCGCCTGCGACTCCTCGGCCGCGGCGGGGTCGGGAGGCGAGATTCGCCGCCCCCCCCCCCCCCCCGGTCCCCCCCCCCCCCCCCCCCCCCCCCCGGCCGCGGTGGCCGAGTGCTCCGCCCGAAGGCGGGTCCGCCATAAACAAACGCGGCTCGGTCGCACGTGGACCGCGGAGCTGCTGCGACTCGCGACAGATCGCGGGCTTCGGGCGCCGCGTCTCCAGGCAAAGGGAGCCGCCAGGGAGGGCAGGAGAGCGCGCCCGGGCCCGGCCCCAGCCGCCTCCGCCCCAGCTCCCCTCCGCTCCCCTCCGCTCCATGGCTCCGCGGCCGCCGCCCATGCCGCCCTCCAGCCCGCAGGGGCCTCGCGGCAGCGGGTACGAACACTCCGTCAAGGACTAAGCGGCACCGCTGCCTCCTCGCTGGCTCCGCTCCGCTTCCTAGGGAAAGCCGAGACGCGAGAGCCGGGAGGGAGAAGGGAAGAGTGAGCAGAAGCGAGCGGAAAGTCGGGCTCTTGGCACCGCGGGACAGCACAGCCGGGAGGAGGCTGCGCCCGGAGCGGCGGGCGGAGCGCGCAGCGGCGCCGCCCGGTTGCGCCGAGCGCCGGGGCCCGGCGGCTGCGGAAAAGCTACTCGGTGCCCCGGGCCTCCCCGCGCACCTGCCCCGGGCGGTGCCCCCGACTCACTTGGCCCCCGGAGTTCCCTTCCCCATCCCCGCCCCTGCAGCCGCAGCGGGGCTCCGCGGACCTGGAGCACAGCCGGGTCTAATATGCCCGGAGCCGAGGCGCGATGAAGGAGAAGTCCAAGAATGCGGCCAAGACCAGGAGGGAGAAGGAAAATGGCGAGTTTTATGAGCTGGCCAAGCTGCTCCCGCTGCCGTCGGCCATCACCTCGCAGCTGGACAAGGCGTCTATCATCCGACTCACCACCAGCTACTTGAAGATGCGGGCCGTCTTCCCCGAAGGTGAGGCCGCAGGTGGGCGGCCGAGAGCCTCGGCCCAAACGGGGAGCTGGAGCTGGATTGGAGCGCCAGTGCAGGGGAGTCTTGGGGAGGCCGCGCCGGGAGCTTCGGCTCCTGTTGGAGAGAGGAGGAAGGGTCTTGGCGCCGTGGGGACTAGACCGTGTTCTGGCCCAAGTGTGGACCCAGCGAATCAGGAATTGTTTTGTGATCGTGCTGCTCCGTTCTGGTTTCCCTCCCTCTTTTCTTTTCTCTTGTTTCTTTTCTCTTTCCTTTGCTTTCCTTTTCTTTTTCTTTCTTCATTTCTTTAACTCCCCCCTTTTATTTTTTCCTTCTTTCATTCCTATCTTTTTTTCTGCGGAAGGGACGCGTGTGCCCCCCAGCCAGAAGTGAGAGGGGCTTGCTGCTCCTGGCCTGGGAGAGAGTGGAGTGCATGAGGAGGCCCAGGCCCTGAAGGCCCTTTGGGGCTGGGGCCTCAGATTTGGGCCTCTCTGCCTGACTCTTCTTTGCTCCCTTGGGGCTGGGCGGGGCAGGTCAGGGTAGGAGAGACCGAAAGTAGGTGAGCAGAAACCTTGCAGGAGAAAGGACTAGTACGAAAATGGCAGGCGGGCCGGCCAGAGCACAGTCTTCTTTTCCTGATCGGAATTATAAACCAGAGGGGCAGGTGCCACGCGGAGCAAGGGTCACCAGGATCCATGGGTCCCGCACACTGCGGTGGTAAGTAATGGCGTGCCGGCCAGCATTCCCTGCTAGCACATGGCCTGCAGAGAACCGTGGCTGCCAGGCTGGGCACTTCTGAGCAACGGGGCTGGGGACGCCTGGTCACCGCAGAGCTCTCTTTGGTGTCCGGGTGTTTCTGAACTGATCACTTTTCAGCGTCTGTCCCCAGCCAGGGTGGCCGCAGCCTGGCCCGCGAGATTCTGACACTCAGCTGGGGCTGGGACGCTGTGAGTGGGGGCCTGCTGGGCACTCCAAGGCTTCTGGGCCGCAGAGCCACTGGAGCCGTGTGGAGCTCCGGAAGCCGGTGGCGGAGTAGAAACAACTTCATCTGCAGGACACCAGACAGTGGCTACACTGTAGGGACAGGTGTCCTTTGGATGCAGGGTGACTCCATTAAGGCGGTGCCTGGTCAGGCCATCGACCAGAAGTCAGTAAGCTTGACCTTTGCGTTGGTTGCTTCTTAAGCCTGTTAGAAGTAATTGGCTCCGGGTTGGAGCTGCGTTTCACACTGCCTCTCCTGGGTGGAGGAGGGCCAGTTACGCTGCTTGACCTGCAGCCCTGCATCTCAGCTGGCCAGAGAATTTAGGGGGGCCCCCTCCCAGAAGCAACTGGTAGCCTAGCTTAGCCTTTGCCTCCCAGCTGGGCCATGCAGCCTCCAGCGCATTCCTCTCTGGTGCAGGAGCCTCGGACCTGAACCTCCACCCCAGCCCCACACCCCTTCTTTCCTCTTCCAACCCCAGTATAAAGCCATGTCCCACTCCAGCCCCTCCTACTGGAAGTTACCAAGCAGATGGTCACTATTAGTGTGCCTAAGGGTGACCCCTTTACCAGAGAAATAGAAAATTAAAATTAGAAGAGAATTGGCTTTTATGAGAGCTGAGTCTCCTTCCCAGTCGGGAAGGAGTGGTGGTGAGCCGGTTTTTGTTTTTCTTTCTTTCTTTTTAAATTTTATCTATTTTCTCCCCTCTCCCCAAAGTGAGTTGTTTCTTAATTTGCATGCCGCAAGCAGGTGGGGAACCAGGACAGGACCCTGGCCTCCTCTCACGTCCCCACTGGAAATAAACACATTAGAAGCCAGAATTGGGATAGTAAATGGTTTGTTACCAATGATTTCCAGTAAGCCAGAAATTAGAAAGGGAGGCCTGGGGAAAGAGGGCTAATTGTAAGCCATTTATTGTTTAGAGAATTTCCAGGAAAGCCTGCTAAAAATTGGGAAGTGTTGGGTATAGGGCAGGTTTTAAAAATTGGAGCTGGGTGCCCTAACTCTGAGAAATGAGTCTCCAAAGCCTTTGAGCCCAGAATTACTTGGCCCTGCGCCCTTTGCAGAGGTGGGCTTGCAGAGGTGGGCTTGCAGAGGTGGTCCAGGACTCGATCACCAGGCCCTTGTGCTTTGTTGGGTAGTGGTCTGGTTGAGGGGTGGCCTGTATGCCTCCTGGGGGTGACTATCACTGTTGGAACTTAGGGTGGAGTAGGGGGCCCAGGACTCCTCATTTCATTCAGAGGCCTGGGGCCTGCAGCTCTGGGTGCTGGCACTGCTCCCCTCAAGTCAGTCCGGGGCACAGAGTTGTAAAGCTGGATGCCTAGGCGGAGAAAGAGGCGTTTAGAGAGACCTCAATTATGCAAAGTAACTGGCTCACCATTCCGGTAGCTCCGCAAAAGGCGGTGTGCGGAAGCTGAGCTGTAATTGATTTAGCCTCTGGTCTGGAGCCCGGGTGTGCGCCGGGGAATGGAATAGGGCCTGGGGGAGCCGCGGGGATCTGGGCGTCAGCATCCGGGAGGTTTAGGGCCAACACAGGCTTGCGCGGCGGTGAGACCTCCCGGATCTGCTCCAACTCTCGGCTGCGGACTGAGAGGTGTCGAGTGAAACGGGTATCTCGAGCTTGGTCTCGCTGATCCGTAGTCACGGAGCAAGAGGGATGTGTGGGTGCAGAAGGGTCTAGAGGCCAAGTTAGGACTTCGGGGGCCAGAAAATGCGTAGCACATTTGGAAGGAACCACAGGCATCGCAGACTAAGCCTCCGGCCCAGAGGAAATTGAGGCCAGAGAAGGATGGGCCTTTTCCAGGGTCCCACAGCAAGGGCAAGAGCAAGCAGTCGCTGCGCGGGGAGGCCACTGGCCATGGCTCTTTTCATCCTGAGACCACCTGGGCCAGAGGAAAGATAGAGGAGCTCGGAGGAGTCCCACACAGGGGCAGAAAGAGGCCAACGTGGACGCTCCCCATGGAGGTCAGACTGCAAGCTTGGGGGTGCTGACAACTTACACAGCCTGTTCAAGGTTCTGCTCCGTTAAGCTGCCCCACCTAGACCTCCCGCTCCTTGTCTGCAAAATGGGCCCATTAAGAACTCCATGCCTGTGCAAGTTTCCTGGAAATAAGTGTGAGGAACCAGGTAGTGAAGGTGGAAATCAAAGGTGTTCTTACTCCACTCACTTTGTCCTGGGAGTGCACGCTGTTTCCGGAGCCAGACATGGCTTAGATGGCAGGGCGCCCCGTCTCTGTGCACCTCTGGGACTCACCGTGTGCAGTTGGAAGTCTGCTATTTTCTGCTCCCCTTAATAGCTAAAAAATGGGAGGTAGACAGGGAAGAGGACAGGCTGGCTTTGGAAGTGTACTCAGAATTGAAAACTCAGTACTTTCACTGGTGGCTGGGAAGGCCTGCGGCACTCAGGGCTCAGAGAAGGGCTGGGGCCACGATTTGCCGGCCCTCTTTGCGCTGTGGCCTTCCCTTCAGGAGAGGGGGCTCTTTGGAAGCACAGAGGCACCGGGTGGGAGGGCGCTGCCGCTCTCTGGCCATAGCTGCATGGTGATGGGCCAAGCGGGACGCAAGACGAGTTTCTCCCTCAGGTGATGTACTCAGGGCCTCAGGACGCCGGAGTCAGAGCCCCAAGAACTCCAAGGCCCATCCGGTTGCTTAGGCTTCTTCCTAGGAGCCAGGACTCTGGATTCGGATTTGACCCCCAGCAGTGGGGTAGGGGGTGGTGTCCCTTTTGGACCCTTGCACGCAGACAGCTGACAGGAGGGACTGGCCTGTGGTCCCAGCTGAGGAATGGAGATGGAAACTGAGGCGGACTGCCCCCCCCACACACAGAACACAGCCCCTCCCCCTCCTTTCCCAGACCTGAAAACTCCGGACAGGTGGGGAGGGAGGGAGAACAGGGGAAGGGAGTGCAACACTGTCAGGCTCACACAAAAATACTGGGGGTTGAGGCCGGAATCACTCCAGCGGTGGAATTGGTCTGGGTTTAGAGCCAGGCAGACCGCTAGAAACTGTTGTCCCGGATGGAAACGCTTTGATTTAGAGGGTCCGGTGAGAAGAAAACCGCCCTTAACCTAAACAGATCCGAGCCCTTTCTCTACCGAAGCCCGAAATCATGTAGATTTTAAAAAGAAAACAAGCGAACTTATTTTTTTGAGTAATGTGACGCTTGACAGCCACACTGGGAGAGCTCCCAGTCCCCGAGCAGGAAGCTGTGAGCTGTGGGCGGCGGCGAAGGGAACTCGGGGTGCAGGGGGCGCCCTAGCCATTGGAGGCGGGAACCGGAGCGCGCTAGAGCCGCGGATTCAGCCGCGGGCGGCCAGAAGCCGGGCCTCGGCCGGGGCGCTCGGAGGCGCGGGCGGAAAGCCGCTCCGGGTGGCGCCGGGCCCCCAGCGCTCCTCCGTGCGGGCCGCGGCCGGGCCTCCGTCCCAACCCCCGAGGACTGGGCGTTAGGCGCTGGGGGCCCGGGCCTTGCGTCTGTTGTCTGAGCACGTACTCTGGCCGGCGGCCAGGCGAGGCCAGGCTGGAAGCCCCCTCCCTTCCCGTCCCGCGGGCCCGGCGAGGGCTTCTTAGGGCGTCCCCACGACCCCGCTTCACACCCCGCTCCGGGCCCGCCGTGCGTGGGTTTGGGAAAAGGCCCAAAGGCCGGGCTTCTCGGGGGCCCCGGACAGAACGAAGCATTCCGAGGCCGGACGCTGAAGTGCTCGGAGGAGCCCCAGAACCGTGACCGTGTAAGGGGCCCTGCAGTCGGGCGAGGAAGGGACGCCAGCTAGGGGCTCCCCCAGGGTGGGAGGCGGCAGCACGGCCCCCGGCTCCAGCGTTACAACCTCGCCCGGGCGCGCTATGCCCCGTAGCCCCGGGCGGAGCCCCTGAGCCGGCCGCCCCGCGGCTGGTAATGCTCCGGAAACCGGGTTGCAAACACCCGCGGGGCGACCCGCAACCCGCGCCCCTGCCCTGGCGTGGGGGTGTCGCGGTGGAGAAGCTGAGCAGCCGCCCGTAGTCCCCGCCTCAGCCCTGCGCGCACCCTTCTCGACTTTGGAGTAGTCTGCGGTCAGCCAGTGTGACCTTGTGTCCTCAGACGGCCCACGATTTTCAAGAGGCCACACTCCCCGATAACACGCTTCCTTCCCCCGCAAGGGCCTAGTAATTTGGGGGAGGGGAGGAGGAGGAGAGGGCCGGAGGCAGGGAAGGAGTGGGAAGGCCAGAGAAGGCTGGACCAATGTGGTGGCCCCACCGCTGCCTTTCAGGGGACCCAGCGCTTTGCTCAGCACCCTCTGGTTTCCTGCGTTTAATCCTACAATATCCTCCCTCACTTTAGAGTTGAGAAATAAATGTTAGAGGTCAGGGCAATAGCTGGAGATCAGACCAGCCAGACTGGCCAAGCCGGGGAGTGGGGGCAGAAGGAAGTGAGATACCCCTGTGTCCCCTGGGGGCTCCAGAAATGTCCTTCCTGGATTTTGGATTTTTCTCAATCTCAGATCCAATTTTTCCATGGACGGGTGGTGGCAGGGTTAGAAGATCCCCTATTAACCCCATTTAGTTTTCAGAAGATCCCTCTGAGGAGTGTTCTTGTCACCATGTCAGATACCCAAGGTTGCGTTCCAGAAACCGCTGTCCATCTCGGGAGTTCTTATCACTCCAGACCCTTTCTCTGGGGCTGGACAGCAGGTATGAAACAGCTGTTTGTTGACTGACTAACTGAGCACCCAGCGAGGAAGGACCACGTTTAGACAGCTTCGGTGGCGGGAGAGCCTGGTAAAGTTTAAACCAGTCAGCCAGTCAGCCAAGTAGTCAAGTTTGCATGCTAAGGTGCGGGTACCCACAAATGGGGGAAAGAGGACTCCTGGTTCCCTTTCTCTTCTGATCCAGTGGCTGACCTCTTCCCCCAGGACCTGGCCGTCTAAATTCCCAGTAGCAGGGAGTGCCCAATGGATTTCCCTGCTGACACATGTAGGGCAATTGGGATAGCAAACCTTTTGGTAGGGGATCGCAGGCCAGGTTTGGGGTGCTTCTGGCCATCCGCCGGCTGCGTCCCCCACAGTCAGTGGAGGGTGGGCACTCCCAGGATCTGGTGAGGCCACAGATGAGCTTGGAAGAGCTTAGCTCAGTCTCACCTGTCTCTCATTTCTCAAACAAATAAAGCCCTTTGTTAAGCCCAGATATGGGTCCGATGCCCAGCGCCTCACTTTTGGGGGGATATCTACGGCTTTACACGTACCAAGACCGATTTTTGGTTCTAGTTACAAACCTTACCTTATTTTGCCTCTGCGTTCAGCCCAAAGTAGATTTTTATGGGCGGAGTGTAAAGGTCTCACCCACATAGGTTTCTAATACAAGTGCTGACGGCACCTTGCCTGGGCTGAGATGGCACGGGGACCAGATGACTGAGGGGAAACCTGGCTGTGACCGCCGCCACTTCAGGCTAGGTCCAGAAGGTGGATTCAGACCAAAGATTTACTGGCAAAGCAGAGGTGTCAGGACATTATAGGAAAAATTACAGTGATATAAGAGAACAGGCTCTCTTGAAGTATCCAGGTATTTGATTTATATGAAAAATTGTCCTGTGTACTCAGTGCAATTTTGCATGTAAGGCCAGAGCCTTCTTCCACAAGGCTTTTGGGAGAGCTGGGCAGGGCAATCCTGGTTTGGGTCTGACCCTTCCCAGAGGTACAGACTTCCCCAGGTCACCTGGCTGTGGACACTACAAGAAGCCTAATCTGGGAGGCCAAGTTCACTTTTCCCACTGAGCCAGGCAAGGCTAGTGTGATGCAAACCAGGGGAAGGACCCAGGAGTTGGGTAGAGGACAGGGCACGGTGGTCCATTTTTGGAAATCAGGATTCCTGGGTCTTTATTAAATTCTTTTTTCATTCAAGTCCCAGGGTTTTAAAATTTTTGTTCTTTCCATTTCTCCTTAATGGAGTAAATGTTGACCCCACCAAGCCATCCTGCCCAGATGGGGGCCCGGGGAAGACCTGCTGGTGAGAGCCAGCGGTGCCCTACTATGGGCACCTTGGAAGTGAAATTGGGCAGACAGTGATTAACTGGGATTAAGAAGACACCTCTGTTCACGTAGTGGTGGCTGAGGGGCTGCGATGGTGTTTGGGGAATCAGGATATGTGGAATTTAGTCACTTCCTTATGGATAAGGATAAACTCCTAATTCCTACAGTTTAGGAGGAGAAATTAAAGGTCATCCCTTTTTTTGCTGAACAGAGTTTGCAAGGAATGATCTCCAAAACCTCTTGGGGCGGGGGAGAGGTGGGCTGGGCCCCCAGGTCCTCTGGGGCCAGGCAGCTCCTTCGTGCTTGGGGTGGAAACCTCCAGAAGCCCAGATTCCAGATACCTGCGAAGACAGCAGGGGAAGACCCAGAGTGTCCAAGCAGCGCCTTTCCAGGCCACCCACTCGCCGCAGCCCTCTTTGGGGAGTTTTGTGGTCTGGAGAATGGTCCCCAAATTCGCTGAGACTAGTGGAGGTTCCCCATCCCGCCCGCCCGTCCTGCTCTGGCTTCGCCACCAGCACTCCCCGGGCGCAGCGGGCAGGGTCCGGTCTTGCGTGCAGTTCTGGGTGAAAGAGAGGAGAACCAATCGACTTACCTGCAGTGGGACCCATAGCTCACCCCGCAGGGGTCGCAGCCACGGGGCAGGGTGGACAGTGCATGAGTGGGCCTGGAGCCTGGGGCCACCTTCTCCGCTGGAGGCAATGGCAGGCTGAGGACAGGAATCCCCGGCCTTTTCCACCTTGCTCCTGGCTGGTCGCTCTAACTGGATGGTTGCTGCTGAGGGTTCTCCCACGTGGCACTTAGTACTGAACCCTTGCCTGGCTTTCCTGCTTTCTTCTGAATATGCAGAGAAGGCTTGGGGTTTCTGGGGGTCACAGCAGTTGAGTCAGGAACACAGAGGAGGAGGCTTCTCTGGGCAGAGCCACCATTCTGCTGGTGTGTCTCCTGAAACACTTGTGACCTTCAGGGAAGTGGTTGGGGGAAGAAGGGGGTGGGGGGGTAGTTAAGAACTGGGGAACCCTAATTATGTGGCAGCAGATCCCTTTCAGTTATCCTCGAGTACCTACAAGACTCCCACCGCCTTCGGCCCATCCCCCACCAGGCCTTGGGTGCGTTTGGAGCTCGCTCTCCGGAAGGTGGCAGGTAACCCGTTGTGAGGCGCCTGCGAGGGCTGCGGGGTCCGAGGGGTTATGTGAGGTTTAAAAATAAAACAAACCTTTTTTTTTTTTTTTTTTTTTTTTTTTTATGCTAGAAAAGCTGCCTCCTGGGCGGCTAGGGCTTTTCGCCTGGGCCTGTCTTTAGGAAAATGCAGTTGCCGGGGACACAGTGAAGGGAGGGAGTGAGGGAGGGTTCTTGGGGAAATATTTACAGGTCAAATCGATATCCCCGTTTGGCTTCGAGGATGGCCGATTTCAAAGCAGATTAGATTACTTTATGGCATTTCAAATAAAACGGCAATTTCAGAGCCGTGAGCACGTGGGCGACCCACGGGAGCGATGGGCCCGGCGAGCTCAGCGCGCCCTGGGGGCGCTGGGACCCAAGGCCTCGGCGGGAACATCTCCTCTGGCCTTTTTTTCTCTTTAATCCAGGGCAAAGGGGCGATGGCAAGAACACAGACGGCGGCCTGCGGGGCCCAGGGGACGGCAGGGGCGACGCTCGGAATTCCAGCCGGCCACCGCGCGCGGTCCCGAAGTTCCGCGTGCTCTGCGGGGCGTGGGGGCCTCTCGATCGGCGCTGCGGTTTACCGATTTGCTTTATTCCCCAGGTTTAGGAGACGCGTGGGGACAGCCAAGCCGCGCCGGGCCCCTGGACAGCGTCGCCAAGGAGCTGGGATCGCACTTGCTTCAGGTAAAGCCTCCTTTGCCGGGAGGGAGGAGCGCAGCCACCGCCTGAGGCGCTGATCCGCGCCGGGTGGGGGCCCCCTTCTGACTCTGCCCTCCCAATCTCCACGTCCTTTCCCAAGGACCCCTGGGTGGATCCCGAGGCCACCATCAGGCTGCAGAAGTCGTCAAGGCGAGAGACAGCTTCTGGACCTCGAGACAATTGGCTACCTCCCCACCCTCTGTCCATGCATGCTCTTTGGAGGTCGGGACTGGGGTGGACTCAGTCCAACCAGAGTAACCTCCGGTCAGCCCCACCCTGACCCCGCATCTCACCGCGTCCCAGCCCTAGTACTCTACAGCTCACGAGACCTAGGCCTAAGGACGCCCGTGGGCGCGCCGTTCTTTCCAACCTTACTTCCTTTAGCAAACTTTTATGGAGCGCTTGCTCTGTGCCAGACGCTGTGCCAGGCGCTTGAGCCAAAGAAGAAGTGATCCGGGTGCTCTGAGCCAGAGTGCGGCAGTCCTAAAGCCTTTGACAATAGTGCATGTTTGGAGGGGATGCAATAAAAGAGATGTAAAATGGTACCTGTAACAGAATATTAAGTTAGCATTTACTGAGAACTTACTACTGATCAGATTCTGTTTTAAATCTTCTTGAATCCGGGTGCGTCATCGTCCACCTAGAGTAGGCTCTATTTTGAGCTCCATTGTCTCAAAGGAGGAAATTGAGGTACAGAGAGCTTAAGCACCTTGCCTGAGGTCACACAGCAAGTGCTGGAGCGCGGTTCAACCCAAGTCCTCCAGTTCTCGAGAGCTCCAGGTCAGGACCTGGTGCGGCCTCCGGGGTCACCTGGCTCAGGGAGGGACCCCTTGCTTGGTTTGTGGTCAGCAACTTACAGCCCTCAGCTCGGAGCTATTTAGCCTTCCGTCGGTAAACCGCTCGTGGCCTGGGGTTTCCCCCGCAGGGTCTGCGGCTCTGGCAGGCAAGGCGAGCGCACGGCAGACCATTTCCAAGTCCGCGGCTGGCGCTGGGTGGGGACCGCAACGCCTCTTGTCTCCGAATCTTTCAGATGCCCTTTACAGAGCCTCATCAACGGCCCGATTCATTCCCCCCGTCCGTCATTTGTCTCTGCCATCGAAAAATGCTTACCAAGAGCTCTTTTGCATTTCCTCCTTCTAGTTTGTGTTTTCTTTAACAGAAAAAAAAAAAAAAGTGTTGGCGGCAGTACGCAGTCAGCCAAGAGCACCGCATTTCGAAAAAAGCGGATCTTTTCAAAACCCCTTTCCCCAAATGTCTAGTATGATTTTTTTTTTTTAAATGCATGCTCGGGGCAAGAGAAGATCCCGAGGAATATTTGAAACCTGAAGCTTTTACAGCATAAAGCAAGCGATGTGGTGGCCAGGCGGGGAAATGGCGCTCTTGGAGTCCTTCCCGCGCCCTGCGCTCACCCGCTTGCTCACTCCCAGCTCCGAGCGCCGCCGCCGCCGTATTTCGCTGGTTTGATACTCCTGCAGGCTAAAAGTGACACTAACATCAGGGACAAGTGAGTGAAAACCTGGCGGGTATAGTCATCACGCCTGGGTTCCTCCACCGTCCATTTCTCTAACTCTGGAATGTTGTGCCAAGGGGCGTGTTTACTGTTAATATACCTTCAAGCGAATCAGGTCATTTGAAGCTATGAAGACATACCCCAAATTTTCCATTAAAGACATTATTTTTTTGGCTACTGCTGGCAACTCTCAGAATTTAATTATGATATATTTTTTTTCTTTTTCTCCCGCATGGCTGTCAGATACCGTTTCAATAAATGTATCTCTTTAACGATTTTGGAGTTGAGCAAGGGTGTAAAATGTGCCAAAACGTTTATAACTGTAGAAATTGCTGTATAGTTTATATTTCTGAAACGGAATTTAGTTGGGAAAATACTTTATAGCTGAGTTAGACAGGAGAAAGTAAGGCTTAAAATCAAGAAGTTGATTCCAATGTCCGTGTAGGTTAGGGTGTTGATAGTTTAGCTGGCAAAGGATTTTCACAGTAAAACTGTATTTGAGACACAGAATGTAAGGATATCTTTCAAGTTTCACTTCTGCTACATTCTTTGTAGGCCCCCCTCCAAAGAGGGGGCAGATTTAGAAAAACCGAAGGTAATCTGGTTTCAATTACATGTTGTAAAAATAGAATTTGTGGCCAGAAATTAATTTGGAATATTTTTTATGGGGGCAGCGTTGTGGGGTGTATGGACCGCTCACCAACTTTATTGCTTTTCTTTGGTTCTGGATCTAAAATATGAATGGGTAAATAAAAATGCAGTTTCCTTTTTCAAAAATAATTTAGCCTTTTCATCCTTGCCACATATAAATATAATCATTACCCTTTTATTTGTCTTAATTAGCTCTTAAAATTTTACTTTATTTTTTTGAGGGCTAGCCAACTTAAGCAATATCATTTAGGTAGTTTTAATTTTTCAGAAATTGATACTTTTTCTCCTCGAATTTTGCAAAAGTTATTTGATCTCTTGCAAATTCTAAGTAGTTAATTCTGTAGACATAGTCTGTTAAAAATAACCGGGTAGTTTATTTTCAGGGGAGTGGTAGTGTTTGGAATTTATTATTCAAATGGTACTTAGGGGGTAACTAGAAAATTGTGGCAAATAAAGTATATGTCCTGGTGGTATAAAGGACTGCCAATTATGACATAAAATGGTCTATATAGTGGTGGGTTTCCCCCTAAGTACCATAGAACTCCGGATTTGCGCTAAGTGCTAAAATAACCCTAAACAATAAAACTACTGCATTTAAACTGAGCACGTTAGGAGTTCTCCAGTGTTTTGCGTGATTTTTGTGATGTGGATGTAAGATTGTTTTTAAAGTTCTTTAAAAGCATTTGAGAGCCTGGCCCCAGGAATTAAACCTTCAGTGTTATAACCTGAAACCCTTTTTAGGGCCCTGGGCTGGTCTTGCATTTGACAAGTATGTATGGATGATAATATGGGATACATTCCTCTACCTCAGTGACAGTACAATTACGAGGTTTCACTCTACTGTGTAACTATCATCTCTTAACCTTGGCACTCTCTTTTACAGACTTTGGATGGATTTGTTTTCGTGGTAGCATCTGATGGCAAAATCATGTATATATCGGAAACAGCTTCTGTGCATTTGGGCTTGTCGCAGGTAGGTATTACCTGGTTTTAGATACAACCAAAATATTAAAGCAAGTGTCGACAGATCTTAACCCAGCCTGTAAGTGATTCTGTTCAAGCGTCTGCTTTTGTGTATGAAATAATCCAAAATTGCAAAATCATCTTCTTAGGCTATCCCGCAGAGCTTTTCTTCATGTTGCATTTCCCAGTTTTACTTTCTTTTTTCCTTTGGGATTAATGAGCGGTGTATCCTTGCAACGGCCAGCTTTGTTCCAAGATCCTGTCTGATAGCCTGGACTCTGCCTATACAGTAACAGTCTGCTGCTAACAAGAGCTTCACAAAGGGAGATTTTTCAGTGCACGCTTGCGGGGCTGCACGTGGTCTTGTGAGTTGCCATGAAAGCGAGAGGAAAACTGATGTCGGACATGGATTTTCTGCAGACTGTGCTTTGGGAGAGAGAGAAGGAGTGGGGGGTAGATTTATGAGTGTTCACATGGAATTCAGGGTAATTTTTCCTGAGTTTTTCCAGTTCAGTGGTCGTTTCAGTAAAGCATTTTATATGCTTGTGATAGAAACTCGTAAAACTCAGTTTACTACTGTTTTGCACAGCGAGGTCCTGTTTTCTCTAGAACATTTAAATATTACTGATTTTTCTGGAACTGTCTCCTAAAAAGGGGTTCATCCCGTCAAGGAAAGAGGTGCGCTTGGCTTTATCTATTCCGATCAAGCCAAAGGTTTTGGGGGGGAAATTCAGCTGCTCTCGGGGCTCCTCGGAATGGAGGGAGGGGAGGAGTCCGATGGTGGCCCTTCACGTTTGCATTTCCGATTTAACAAGCGTGGTCTGAGGTTCTAAAATTCACATTTTTAAAAATACATCTAAGGATTAAATGCTTCTTTATATTGTGACTTATCAGAATGCTTTTTTTTTTTTTTCATCACGACTGAAGACACACTAGAATTAATTAGAGACAGGAAATGGGCTCCTGGGAGGCAGACGATTAATCTGTGTTACACCAGCCCCCTCTGTAGTTAAGCCAAAATAAAACACGTCAATTAACAGGGCTGGAGTTTTTTCATGGAAAAACAAAATTCCCAATTTGGGAAACCTGCATCTGGTGTATTCCTTTTCTTTTTCTGCCAACGCATTTTTTTAAACTTGCCGTTTGTTTACAACCATCTCTTCTAATATGGGTATATCCTTATCCATGCCCAAAGGGGTTTCTGTGCCTCTCTTTCTTATATATAGTCTTTTTCCTTTCCTCCTCTCTTCCTTTACTAAACCAGGTCTCCCAGCTAAGACTTGCTAAGGCTGGGTTCTTACACTTCTATGACTGATGGTGTTAGTACACTAGTGGGAAGGGAAATACTGTTGGGAACATGAAGTCTACTATTTATATGTTTTTCAAGGTTGTTATGCTCTGAATTTCCACGATGCCCTATTTAGAATTGTTTAAACCCCTTTAGTTGTAACCAGTCTGGTGTCTAACCTTCGTTCTATCTGTGGCTGAAAGATTTTGAGCAGATTACTTGATTTTTCAATTGTAATTTATCGAACCTTTAGTTAGTCTTATAAAAATATCACAAAAAAGATAAAGCATCTCACCTCCTTTAAACAGGACTGGACAAAGATAAAACAGGTACAGTCACTATTTTCAGACATTAAATTTAGATCTGAGCTCCCTAGCAGTCAAAGCAAAAAGGGAAATGCCCAGTTATATGTTTTCATTGTCTGGTAGGGCAGGTTCTTAGCCTCTCTGAACCATCACTTAAATAAGAAAATCCTGCCTGATTTTCTCTTTCAGGATTGTGGTAAGAACTATATCAAAGTACCCACTTTATGTGTTTTATAAATAATAGGGAGCTATGCAAAATCCAAGTGTCCCCAGTTTCATTAGAACTGTACTTCCAGTAGCACAAAAGTTGCTTCGGATAGTGTTCTGTGGTGGGCACATATTGGGGCTGACTAGTCCTGTGGAATATTCTGGCTCATCAGAAGACCCTGTGCACGTCCCAGGACTCCAGATGACTCAGGCTACTTCTTCTAGCATCCTACAACTCTCTGTCATTTTCCTCTTTTTATTTGGGAAATGAAATTGACCATTTGTGAGCACAATAATTAAGAATGAACAAAATATTGGAGAGGTGACAAGTTGCCTCCTGTTCCTGAGTGAACTCTACAAAAGGAAATCTAAGGAGAATCCCAATTAAAATTACATTTCCTTTTGGTCATAATGCAGCAATAAAACCTGGTGTCCTCATTTTGAAAGAGGAGGGAGTTCTACGCTCCCGTCATTTTTCAGTTTTTCAAGAATGTCGTAGAGATGCCTTTTGTCTGTATGTTGCCGGCCAGGAAGAAGTGTCAGTTTAAAAAATGATAAACCAAACTGACTGCGTAGAGCGACTGATCCCCCCCCCAACCAACCCAGTCTCTTGGCGGGACTGTCTCACTATCAGTCTCCAGCTACAAAAACACTTTAGTGCAGACACGAGTCCTCGTTTGTGTCTGGGGAGTGTTCCACATTGAACTGTTTAAATAAGCAACAGCAAACCTTTCCTTCCAATCTGCCTCCTGCTCACGATTAACTCTGCAGAAGGAAATCTAGGCAGAATTATGGTGTGTATTTTTTCTGTCTTCTTTACTTAAATAGTAAAATGAAGTATTAAATAGGATGTCAAGAACTTCTCCCCTTAAAAAATTTTTTATACCTTTTAAATTATTTTTTATTAGTAGTAAGAAGTCAGGCAAATATGTCAAACATGAAAACTTTATTAAAATAGGCTTACGGGTTTTTAAAAAAATTTTTTTTAAATCCTCAGAGATGAAAGTGTTAAGAAAATTCTATCCAGTAGGCCCAGTAACCCTTTAAACAGATTTTCTGTTGGAGAACGACAATACTAATACTTATATTTACATAGTGTCCGTCTCTGTTCCAAGAACTTTCAATTACTCTTAGTGACATTATCTCATTAAGTAACAATATCTTTCCCATTAATTCAGGGTTAAACTCTACGTTAGCAGCTCCTGGGGAACCTAAGCTCTTAGGTTTGTCATAACTGTGTGATAATTCACAACAAAGCAATTAAAAAAAAAAATCTGCACTACCTAAATAAGTATCTGAATCATCTATTTGAGACTATAAAAATCATTCTTTGTTTTATAAGTCCGTCCTAATTCTCAAGGCCTTATATTGAACTTTCTTTTTTTAAGATTTTGTTTATTTATTTGACAGACTGATCACAAGTAGGCAGAGAGGCAGGCAGAGAGATTGGCGGGGATGGGAGCAGGCTCCCTGCAGAGCAGAGAGCCCGATGAGGGGCTCGATCCCAGGACCCTGGGACCATGACCTGAGCTGAAGGCAGAGGCTTTTTAACCCCTGAGCCAGCCAGGCGCTTGTTTTATTGAACTTTTTAAAAACAAGTGTGGGAGTAACAAATCTGGCAGTGTTTATTATTTTTGCTTTTAAATGAGTAATCATGGTGATCCTCGCTGTCAGACTTCAGGACCAAAGAGTGAGAGAGAGAACCACAAAATACAAGTTGTGTCCTCAGCTCACGGTCCAAGTGTGGGGAAACAGAGTCAGACTACAGGCTTGAAAATTCTCCCTGGTCTATGTGTACACAATGATACATAATAATTCATGTAGCCAGATTTAGATCTGTTTGGAAGAGGTAGAGTTACGGAAGCACTCTTTACCCACGCAAGTTTATTAGGTGGTTGGTTCCATGGGTTTTGGTTGATGTAATTAACTTACTTATATTGGAAGAAGGGGGGAAAAAGCCCCCTGTATACCCGCTGTGTATTTCCGTGGCCTCTTGGAAGCATCCCTGTGTTGAAATTTCTTCACCAGAGTCACGTATGTTACATAGCATCTAGGTAACTAATGTAAATTTTCAAATAACTGTAGATATGTGTGAAATGGCCGTTTCTGAGACATGTAAAGGAAAATATAATATTGGAGATTGTGGCCGGAACTACAGCCGTAAAAATAGCCATGATATTGTTTGGTGTCATAAGACCTAATCCTTTCACTTTTGAAATAAAGAGAAAGGACAACGTTTTATGTTTGTTGACATAACTTGAACTCTGAAATCCAAACCATCTTTTTTTTTTTTTAATGCTTAATTTACCATAGTCAGCAAAACACCCAAAGCAGAGTAATGTGTGTTTCCAGAGTACTGGGTGACTTTCCCCTTCCAACCCAAAATATATCCATTTAGTGCAGTATTTATCATATGTAGTTTTCTTGGCAGGAAGGAAAGCTATTCAGCAAAACATAAAAACGTTCTTAGTAGGAAAGCAATTCATTTTGTAGTTAGCAGGGTCTTACAAATACTAAACTATCACATTGAGGTTCTGTTTTAATAAGGTTGATATATGAGATCTGGGGAGTTTTATAGCGACAACCATAATTTTTTTTTTTTTTTGGTGAGGTGGTCACATTTCTTCCAACCATTCAAAAGCAGGAATAGATATGTAAATACAGGAAACACCATGTCAACCATAATTTTGAGTCAAGGTCAGCCCTGTTTTATCATTCCAAAATTTGTTCTTTAAAAACATTTCCGTTATGTGAAGACCATTTTACTTCCTGGGCAGGCTTGGAGTTTATAATTGAAGCAAGGATTCAGAAAATCAAGCCTCTTAAATCATGGACCTTCTCTGTCCTCATTCTCCAAATGCATGTGGTGAGAATGGGGTCTTTGAGGACAGATGAAGCTACTCTGGGATTAAAACGCGAATCGAATCCTTGTAAGGACAGTTGCAAATGTTCTTGCGAGTACATAAATATACTTTCTCTGAAGAGACATGGGGTACTTTTTTCTGATGAACTTGGAGCAAACCAGAATGCTCTTTTTTTCCCCCTAAAAATGTGGGTAAGGGAGAAATGATAGGCCCGCACACAAAAAATTCTCTCTCATTACTTTTTCATTTTAAAAATAAGCCATTGAAATTGTGAATCAATTTTTTAAAAGACTCCCTTATTGATTAGCCTCTGTCACTCTCCACATGACAGAGTTTCACAAGGAATTTCTGTCACGGGCTTCAGGAAAAGAGGACATGGTCCTGTCCCGAAGGGCTGACTTAGCACTTGCTGGTTTATCGATATTTTTTAAGGATGAAATGATTTGAAAGACGGCTATGTAGTTCTTAATCCTTACTGTGTTTGATGAACTCACGTAATAACTTTGGTCGTTGGCAAATCCCCTTTAGGGTCAAGTGGGGAGGTAGGGAGGCTTCTCTGTATCTCATGATTCTCTCCGTTCTTCTGTAGGCATAACATTGGCAAGAGAATCCCATGAATAATGCAGAAAACAGAACTGCCAAAGCCCTTTCAGGGACAAGATTACTTAGCAGGCCAGAAGCATAATTTGTTCTGAATAAAATGGTAACTCCTATGTCTTAACAAATGGCAAAACCTGGCCAGAGGACTGGGGTAAATTCCGTCACCTCTCCATGGCCGCTCAGTCCCAGGGAAGGAGCTGGTGGCCCTGATGCTAATTTGGAACCGTGGCTCCCAGGAGAAGCTGGGCCTCACGTTGCCTGGCTGCGGTTGTCCTGCTGCGTGAGGTAGCTGGGTCAGAGCTGCCTCCTGACTGGAGATCGTGTTGTCTCCACTCTGACGGAGACCGGGGAGCCTCCCAACAAAACGCAGGGCACGATGCACTTAAAAATAACAAGGGGGTGCTTGGGGACAAGACTGCCTTTGCTCTTTTAGCTTGCCCTCTCCCTGTGAGGCAGAGCTGAGAAAGAGTCGGAGTCGGACCTGTCCATGGCTCCCTGCCCTCCGAGGGCAGTTTCTCACGCTCTCAGTTTCCATCCCCCTGGGCCGTGGGGATCCTTCAGGCCGCGGTGGAAGACAGATCCCTGCCCTGGGCTCCCGCTGCCTCACTCTTCTTGTCTGTGGCATTGTATCTCTAAGACAGGGCCCGCCCACCACTGCTCAGAAGGCCCTTCTGATGGTCTTAGTCTCTGGAACATTGTCTGGCACCGCCCATCTTGGAATGATGGGCCAGGGCATCCTGGCCATCACATGACATCTAACATCCCCTATCGTGGCATTTATGTTTGGGAGAACAATAGGAAAGTTCTCAAACTTCGGCACTGATTTGCCAGGAATCTCTGTGGAACGATCGCCATGCTGGTGTTGTCCTAGAGAACCCCGTCCCTGCAAAGGGCCTGCCGTCGTGTCCTCTGCAGGGTGTGTACCTGGAAGTAGGTGGTGTCCAAAGGTTGGGGTCACGACCCCTGGAAATAACCACGGTGTCACTTGGCTGTCTGGAGCAGGCCCGAATCCCCACAGGTCACACAGCTGCCCTGCCGCACCCGTGGGCAGGAGCCATTGGATGACCAGTCATCCCAGAGTCAGAGGGCTGGGACACGTTTCTGGCAACGTGAAAGAGGCCTGGCGGTGCCTGAGGGGCGCAGCTTGGAGCTGATGGAGAAAGGGCCCTTGTCGGAAGGCGAGGTCTCCTCGAGGGCAGTGGAGACCCCGCGGGTCACACCTGCTCAGTCTCAGAGAGGACGCGGCTCTCGCAGGGACCACAGTCTGGACTTGGCAGCTGGTGTCCCGGCTGGCCAGGCCCCTCTGGCTCCACCCGGGCCCTGGCTCCGGTCTGCTGTATGTAAGCTGCCTCTTGTGTAAAGGACACTGCCCGGGGCCGTGGCGGGGGCGGTGGGGGCGGGGTCACCCACCTCGATGGCACACCTTTCCATCCTTCCCGTCCCAGTTCCTCCTGCTCAGGACCGTCCCCACGTGGTGGATGGTTCAGAGCGTGGCTCGATAAAAGATCCATGTTTCTGCAGGTGGAGAGGGTGTGGGCTGTGAGCAGAGGTCGGAGCTCTGACGCTGGATGTGTCTCCCTAATGCGCACCTTCCCCTCCCCGACCTGCGTGGAGGTCCCCGGGAGGATTTCTGACCCCTCCCTTCCCTCTGTGGCAGGTGGAGCTCACCGGCAACAGCATCTATGAATACATCCATCCTTCCGACCACGACGAGATGACAGCCGTCCTAGCAGCCCACCAGCCCCTTCACCATCACCTGCTCCAAGGTATTTCCTCCAGACGCGAAGAAACCAGAATGAAAACCATACCACGCTCTTCAGCGTGACTCGAGGGTTTGCTTCCCGTGCTGCCAGGGGGAAACGTGACTGGGACTGCCCCAATGGGCCTCTCCAGCACACACGCAGCGTGGGGGGTTTGCTTTCATGTCTCTATCCTTTGAAGCAACACTACTGATCCCATGTCTTGTGCCAGAGACCAGGACAGGCGCTGGTGGGAGGTAAAGTGAAGCGATCAAGATGTGCTCTTGGTTCAGAATTCCAGGAACGCACGTCTGTCCCTGGGCTTCCTGACCAGAGGGTCCCTGGTAGAACTCAGGGGGTCTGTGAAACGGTGTGGGGAGAATTACATCTTTATTCTGTCTGGTTGGAATGTAGCATTTCCTTTGCTTATGGATTATGGGCAGTATGCCATCTCTCTCACTCTGCCGGTGGCTTCGCCAACGAGTCACACACATTTTTCATTTCACTTCATAGTTCTCCCAGGTGTTTAAACTTATCACTTACGCTCATCGAGACTTCAAAATTCCAGGAGTTACGAGGCCGGCTGCTGGCTGTTGTTATTTAATGTGTGAATAAAGCAGCACATTTATAACAAAATCACCACTTGTTTTATTACCAAAAAATATTACCAAAAATACTTTGGTAACTGTTTTAATACAGTTGAGTTGGTTCCATTTGTGATCTCCTATACTTTTATCTTCTGCATTTAAAAACATTATTCTGGGGACGCCTGCGCGCTTCAGTTGGTTAACCCTCTGCCTTCGGCTCAGGTCATGATCCTAGGGTCCTGGGATCGAGCCCAGCATCGGGCTCCCTGCTCTGCGGGAAGCCTGCTTCTCCCTCTCCTACTCCCCCTGCTTGTGTTCCCTCTCACTCTCTCTCTCTCAAATAAATAAATTTAAAAATCTTTTTAAAAAAGATTTTATTTATTTATTTGACAGACAAAGATCACAATTAAGCAGAGAGGCAGGCAGAGAGAGAGGAAGGGAAGCAGGCTCTCTGCTCAGCAGAGAGCCCGATGTGGGGCTCGATCCCAGGATGCTGGGATCATGACCTGAGCCGAAGGCAGAGGCTTTAACCCACTGAACCACCCAGGTGCCCCTAAAAAATATTTTTTTAAAAGGTTTTATTTATTTGACACACAGATAGAGATCACAAGCAGGCAGAGCATCAGGCAGAGGGAGAGGGAGAAGTAGGCTCCCCGCTAAGCGGAGAGTCCGATGTGGGGCTGGATCCCAGGACCCTCAGATCATGACCTGCGCCGAAGGCAGACGCTTAACTGACTGAGCCACCCAGTTGCCCCTAAATTTAAAAATCTTAAAAAAAAAAGTTACTCTGGTTAGGAACCTAACCAGAGTAACTTTTGTGCCATGGCACGAATGAGTTAAGAAGCTCCTGTCCAGATGGAGGCAGGTCCACCTCCCTGGCCTGACACCACGTGGGGACACGATCCCCCACCTGATGTTCCCATTACTGAACACGGATGGATTGGGGTCCTACCGCCATAAGCGCGTGTAAGGACATAATGTGTGATTGTTCAGGGGAGGATGTGGAGCACATTGTTACACAGATGACTCCCTAAATTACAGTCGCCGTGCATGCTAGGAAAACGACCTTGTTCTGGGGTGCTGGCCCTTTAACTCCCTCTCTCTGACAAGCCAATGACACCAACCAGCATGATGCTCAGTGGGTCTCTTGTCTGCTGTGGATTATGGTATCCCAGCTGGGCCAAAATTCCCCACAGAAAAGAATGCAAAAGCAGAGACCTCAAGCGTGGGGTGGGGTGGCCCACAGGTGAAAACGGCCTCCTCCTAGGAGGGGCTGTTCTAAGGCTAGAAGGAGGGACTGCAGAAGAGTGCGCTCGGCTTGAAAATCACTTCGGGTACAGCTCTGTGGCTCCCGTGTTCTCAGCCCCAGACATAGTCATTGAGCGTCTTTTCCTTACCAAGGAGAGAGATTTCTGTGCTGGTTTCTGAAATGAGGTGGGGGCTTCCTTGTAGCTATGGTCCGTAACTCTCTCTCTTTTTTAAAGATTTATTTTATTTTATTTTATTTATTATTTATATTATATATAATATAAATATTTATTTATTTTTATTTTATTTCAAAATTTATTTATTTATTTATTTGAGAGAGAAAAAGAGAGTGTGAGCATGCGCTGGGGGGGGTGCAGAGGGAGAGGGATAAGTAGACGCCCCACTGAGCAGTGATCCTGATGTGGGGCTCAATCCGGGGGCTTGATCCCAGGACCCTGGGACCATGACCTGAGCAGAAGGCAGACATTTAACCAACTGAGCCACCCAGGCACCCCACTATGGTCTGTAACTCTTAAGTCCTTGCAAACAGTCTGGCCAGCTCAGTGCACACAGATAAGCTCGGAAGAAGTAATTTCTAGCAAAATGAGGGCTGGCCAGGAATAGAGTACCTGAGTCTCATTCTTTCACTACGGGGTTGTTTAACGCTGGAAAAGGCTGCAGGAGTCTTAGAGAATTCCTAAAAACATTCTGTTGTTATTGTTCTAGAAAGTTCCACAGTGTTAGTACGCAGGAATGGAATTTCTCCCACGAGCTCTGGTTTCATGTCAGCCTTCCATGTCATAGCTATAAATTGTTTATAAAATGACAGCAAACGGTATCTTGGAAATACCATAAGACCCTTCCAATCCCAGTCCCCGTGTGGTTTATGTCTGAGGTGTAGCAACCACACAAGAGAAGCACGACGCTCCAGGAAAGATGGGGATGCCACCCGACTATGCAAGGTCTGAGGTTCACGGACACTGGGACTGGTCCCCGGCTTCTTGTCCACAGAGCTGGTTTTCTGCCTCTGAGCTCCTCCCCTTCCCCGCTGCTTCCTGGTTGTTGTGCTGTTGGCTTTTTCCATACTGGATGTTTCATTACTGGGTGAAGGTGTTTAGCCCCGAGTGTCCACACCTCAGTGCATAGCTGGAAATGGTGCAGACAGGCAGGCGTGTTCCCGAAAAGCCTTTATGCCTCACAGATCCTGGCCCGCTGCAGAGGAATTGTGGATAAATGTGGCTGCCCCTCCAATGGGGGGCGGGGCGGGGGGACAAGGAGCCTCACAGGCCATTCCCTTGCTCCCCCTGGGTAGGGGCAGGGGGCACTGCCTCCACTCCTAATGGTAACCTTTCTTTAAAAATTAATTTATTAACTGCCACCAAGTAGCTGTTCATTAGGAGTGGACTGACCTCACCCTTACCAGGGGCGTGGATGCATCATTCCGGAGAATGGGCGTCTGTTCACTGAAGTATAGGGTGTTTCCTTAGGGAACTCACTTGTATTTGCAATAGTGAGGTTAAAGATGGGTGGGTGAGGCCTTCGGGCCAGCCAGGGAAAGACTGAATGGGGAGGGTCAGAGCCGTCAAGAAAGGAGGGGTGGTCAGACTGGGGCTATAGATGAGGGCAAAAGCTTTGATCTGGTCGACTGAGTGGGTCTGTTGGGTTCTTTTCCCCATTCCCTGGCAATCTCGGGCAGGATCGGTGCCCACGGGCTGCCTCCCTCTGCCGGAGAGAGGGCTGTGCCTGTGAGCCCTGACCCAGCATCCTCATCCCTGAGGAAGTCAGATGCCTCTGGGCCTTCCTGGCCAACTCAGACATCCTCCCCACGACTGGCCAAGGTGGTTCATTTGGCACCAGCCCTCTGCACACCTGCCCGGAGGGGACCACGGACGTGTGAGCAGGGCTGGGCCCGCTGCACTTAGAGTTCTCAACGCCGGCCCTGGGCTGGTGTCTCCCGAGTTCCCACCATGGCCACATTTCCGGCTGCCTACCTCTGGAGCACGTAGAAGCCACACCGGGACAGGGCCGGTCTCCCCACCCCACCCGGGGCCCAGCCGCAGGCGGAAGTCCCTGGGTTAGGGGCTGGGCGTTCTGGGATGGGGCCTCTGGCTGCCTGGTCTGGTCCTGAGGGTTGACTGAGGTCATGGGGACAAAATTGGGGCAAGCATCACAGGACAGTTGGCCCATCTAATGCCACTCCTGCTTTCAGAGTATGAGATAGAGAGGTCATTTTTCCTGCGGATGAAGTGTGTCTTGGCGAAAAGAAACGCGGGCCTGACATGCAGTGGATACAAGGTACGAGGAGCCTGGCGTGGCGGGAGGGAAGCGGGAGTTGGCGGTGGGTCTTCACGGCTTTAAGGGTTGCTTCCCTCGCAAGAGCATCTGCAGACAGCACGCACCGGGACCCAGACATCTCGTCCTGCCCCAGGCAGAACTTTCTAGGGAGGCTGCCCGCCCCAGCTCCTACAGCAGGTACGAGGATTGGTGTCCCGCAAGGATATACCAGGAGGACTGGATTTCATCGCATGAGACCAGGAATAAGTGTGGGCAAGGGTAGAACTTTCCTTTCCTGCAGTTTCCTCTTTGCTCGGGTCAGTGCCCCTGGAGCCTCCGCCCTCTAGTTACCGAGAACCCATGTGGTGGGGTCGCAGTGAACATGCAGAGAACAGAGGCGGTGCTCCTGCCCTGGAGCCTTTGACCAAACCCAGCGATGGCTGGGAGGTGCCTAATGGCAGAACCTGTTCTGAGGGCAAAGAGCTTTGGTCAGCCGACCCTCATCTCGTTAATTACCGGTCATCGCGGCCCGCAGAGGGGAGTCTTCCTGGCCCCACTTTATGATCATCAGGGACGCAAGCAGAGAAGGGACGAGACCGGTAGAAGGCCCTTGCGCTAAGGGGCAGAGCTCCTCCTGGCTGCCTTTCTTCACCAGACCTGGCCGCCTGTTCTGGCTCGCTCCAGAACCCAGGAGTCGGTCCCCTGACGAGTCCAGGGGATGGCGTGGTGCCTCCGTACCCGAGTCAGCCTCTCCCGGGTGGACGGGCAGGTTGGGAGACGTCAGGGCTGAGCATCGCCTTCCGAGCTTCTGAGTCCTCTCTGGAGCCTGAAGTGGCTGTTTCTCCCACCTTTGTCCTCTCTTTCTGGAATGCCCCTCCCGCCCTCCTCCCTACCACAGAAGCCTCCCTTTCAGCTTCTCCTCAGCACCCCCCCCCTTTGAACCCCACACTGAGCTCTTTCCTTTGACTTTCCCTTGCTCTGTTTGATAGTTTGGGGACACATTTCTTATTTGCTGGCCCAGACTCGAAGCCTATTTCGACCAAGGGTGGAGAACCCCCGGCGCTGTCCTCTACCCAACAGACTTGGGTCTTGAGTTATGTCTGCCACTTTTTAACCGTCTAATCTTAAGCAAAACAGATCACCTACCTTGTCCTTAGTTTCCTCATCAGTAAGATGCGACAGTGGACTGGACGGATTTTAAGATTTGTTGGGGCTCTAAAGAGTGAACGCATCCAGGAGTCCCGGAGGAACGTTTTGGAAAAGAGAATTTAAGATTTTAGCTGTTCGTTGCTGCTGTCATGGTGATCAGGATCCTTTCAAGATTTTACTGACTCTTAACTCATACAAATGCTGGCAACAGTGAGGCTGAAGGTTGCACCAGTGTTTCTGTCGGCCATTTGAAACCCTCTACATTCTCTCCTGCATGGTTTTTGGCTATAACAATCAGAGGTTTCCATATAGCCATTCCAGCTTAGTGTTCATTACAAGGGGATAGAATCTTGAGTTACAAATAAACAAAACAAAATAAAAATACGTTAAAGGAAGACCCTTGATTCTACTGAAAGAATTCTTCATTTACTGGTGGAATGGTGTAGCTTGTCGAGTGATGTAAGTGTCAAGTTAACATGTTGTCAAATCGAGTCGCACCGGGAGGCGATGAGCATCGTGGAGCCAACGGTCAGCTTCCCATGGTGCTTTCGTTGTGCCTCTGATAGTGACTTGGTGATGAGTTAATTATAGATAAACGCATTACAATTGGGGTCTTACCTTGTGGAGTTACTTGAGCAGAGTCAATTAGGTGAGACAACCCTGACATTCCATCATGATAGTTTCCTGAGAAAGAAGCACGTTGGCCTGACCGCTCAGTAGAGGCTGGGCGGGGCACTGTCCAGCACACTCGAGAAGGCAGGCAGGCCCCAAGCCAGGAGGAGTGGGTGTCAGTCTGACCCCTGGTCTGCCGGCAGCTGACTCTGCCCTCTGCTTTCCCCAGGTCATCCACTGCAGTGGCTACTTGAAGATCAGGCAGTATATGCTGGACATGTCCCAGTATGACTCTTGCTACCAGATCGTGGGGCTGGTGGCCGTGGGCCAGTCGCTGCCGCCCAGCGCTGTCACAGAGATCAAGCTGCACAGTAACATGTTCATGTTCAGGGCCAGCCTCGACCTGAAGCTGATCTTCCTGGATTCCAGGTGAGTTTGGCACCTGCTGTTCCTGCAGAGTTCCAGAAGACCCCGACGGTGGAAACTGCCCCGAGAGCTACCCTGTTAAGCCAAAATGTAATGAGGAATAAGTCATACTAAGAATGCAAGTGAGAGAAGTGCCTGGGTGGCTTGGTCAGTTGAGTGTCTGCCTTTGGCTCAGGTCATGATCCCGGGGTCCGGGGATCGAGCCCCACATTGGGCTGCCCGCTCAGCGGGGAGCCTGCTTCTCCCTCCCCCTTTGCTGCTCCCCCTACTCGTGCTCTTTCTCTCTCTCAAGAATGTGAGTTAGAAAGCGATTTAGTGGAACCAGGTCATGAGTTGAAAGACCTGCTATCAGCCGTAGGCCTCAGGGCATAGCTGCTTCTCCAGGTATCAGGTTTTAAATTATTTTATATTATTGACGTCTCCCTTCATCATCTCACTGGAGTAGGAACTGGAAATACGTGTTGTGGACACAAGTTTTTGAAGGCCCACGAGGTCGGGATTGTCTTGTATCTCCATGAAGTAGGTAGAACCTTACGATCGAAAGAACGTAGTAGTGTGTGTGGTGGGGTGGGGGGCTGCCCACGCAGGCTGGTGGGAGGCCATCCGAGCTGTGGTGGCCACCAGAGCTGAGGCTGCGAGCAGGCAGGCAGCCTTCCCTGGGGAAAGCTGTGGCCGCGACCTCATTGGGGGCCCCCGGCTGGCCCTGGCCTGGGAGGGCACCCCCGGCGGGCGGGGAGGGTCAAGATGCAGTGGCTCCAGACCCGGCTCTCTCAACCGTCGTTTCCCTTCTTACTTGAGGATGCCTGCCAGTCGGAAGGTCTGATCCCTGAGAGAGAAGGGAGCGTGAACGAGGCAGAAGAACTGATTTGTGTTCGCTGGGCCCACGGCAGCCTGCACGGGGGAGGGGGTTGCTGGAGCAGCCCAGCTGTCCCCCAGGGCAGCCCGCGGGCTTCACATGCCTGGAGGCCTGGGGCTTCTCTGGGCTTCCCTTGTCTGTGAAACAAGTCAGCCCTGCCCTGCCCACTGGGGTACCCACAGGCTGTTTAGGGCAAGTGAATTCTGAACCCAGACAGGAAGCATTTGTAAAAGTAAAAAGCCTGATGGGCCTGCAAGGTGAGTCATGCTGCCGCCTCACAGTCCCCTAGAGGAGGACTCGATGTTCAGAGACCCCACTTCTGCTTTTTGGTGTGTGTGGCTAAGCTTTCTGGGAGAGAGGAGATAGATACAGCTATATGTAAATACACACACACACACACACACACACACACATATATAGTTGTTAAGATTTGTAGATTTTTTTCCCCATCTTTTTAACTGTGGTAAAATATACATGCCATAAAATTGGTCATTTTAACCAGTTATGGGAGAAAACCACACATATTTGCTTAGGGCTGGGAAGAGAAGACACCAGTTAGCTTAGTTCGTCGTTAGCACACCTCAGAACCTCAGAACCCTGGAAAGGTAGAGAAGTGACAAGGTTGACATGACAGACTTGGCCTTTGTGCTCCTAGGAGCTCCAAGCAGAGTACGCATAACTCTTTGGGGGAAGGAGGACAGCCCCTTTGGGCCGGCAGACGCTGACAAATGCTGTTTCCTGCAGGGAAGACAGGCACCTGCCTGGAGGGGCCCAGGGTGGGTGGGCTGCCTGGGGTGTGGCAGAAGTGACAGCAGGCAGTGGTGGGAAGGGGTTCTTTCTGGATTCAGGAGGCACTTTTAAAAGTGAACTGAAAAGAGTTCCAGTCCTCCAGGTTCATTATTTTAGACACTTGGGGGAGGTTCTCCCTTGTTATGTCTGTCTCCTCCTAGTTTTCCTTTGAGGGTTCCAGGAAAAGCCTCTGAGGCTCAGTGAATTCTCTAGAAGATGAAAGAGGGAGGTCTCCCCGGAGAAGAGACTTCACGTCTTCTCAAATGGTTCAGTGCATGCAGCTTTGAAACAAGAAGGACAAGCGGAGGGCTTTGCGGAAGAGGGCATACAACGTGAGCTGACAGGCCAGACTGCTCGGGGAGGGAGCCTCAGGCATGGGCTTTCTTGAATGCCAGCATCCTTCCACCTCAGTGTGGGGGCCAGACCCCTGAGGTGAGTAGGAAAGAAAGACTGTGAACTTGCAGAAGACATCCTGTCTCTGCAGAAGTCCCCATGGTTCTCCCAGCTAAGTACCAGGAAGCTTCTAGCAAAGCATCTGAACTCCAGTCATCTAAGAGATGCTTAAGAGAGAGATGAGCTGGAGAATTCTTCACCCCACTCTGGTCTCTGGTCCATTGTAGCTCGGCTCTGAGAGGTCTCTGGGCTGGGGGATGTAAGCTCCTACATCCAAACCCCAGAGGCCACTGTGTGGGCTTGGCTTGAAGCCCAGCAGCCCTAGAGTCACAGGGGCCTGGGGGGTGGCCACTGGGCCCCCCACCCAGTGTAATCCCAGACACAACTGAACTCAGCGTAACCTGAAATTTGGTTCATAGGGGTTTTGTGGTATTTCACTTTGAAACTGTAGCTGGTGCTTTTGCTAAGGATGGGTGAACCCAGCCATGTTTGGGGTTTGGCAAATCCCTCTGACAGGTCTTCAGACACTGGAGGTTTGGAAAAAACCAGGAGGGCATGCTGCCAGACCCTTCTCTTTCCCTTTAATTTTTAAAACCAGCGTGCACTTTGATGAGAAACTTAATACATGTGTTTCTGATTCATTTACACGTTCGAGGCCGTTGTTCTGTAACTTTGCTTCCAAAGGGTCTGGGAAGCCTCTTTCATCCCCACACCATAGAGATGCCTGGTTTTCTTTCTGGGGGGATGCCAGGTCTCAGTTTTCCTGCCACACAGTTCGACTCCAGTGGGGCCTGAAGTCCTAGGTGGCCCTTAGACACATCCCCCGAGCCCTGAAAGGCTGTGGCAAGTTCCCTTTTCCACCTACCTCCAGCCCCATCTCCTTCCCACCCTGGAGGAACACCATGGAAATGTGTACACCAAATAGTGAGTAATTCCAGGGAAATATGAGGCTCCCGGAGATTTACAACCCGAAGCCCGCACAGAACTCAACAGAAAGGGGAGCAGGTTACAGAATGAAAGTGAGGTCAAGTTTCCCCATTTCATTTCTAGCCAACATTTCAGACAGAAATCAGGAGGACCTCCAGTCCTGGCCCAGCCTCAGGCCCCACCTCTGCCCCCCAGAACCGCCTCCCTTCCCTTAGAATCCTTCTTGTCCTCCTCTTTCATCTGTTCTTGAATATCTATCACCAAGACATTTGGGCCATCTCCTCCAAGGGCACAGCTCCCAGCTCAGTTGCCCAGGGCCTGAGGAACAACACCGTTGCCGCCTGCCCCTTTCACCTCTGGAGGGAGTGATCCGAAGGCCAGTGATGATGTGGGCTTGGACCTTGAGAGCTGCTTTTCTTCACAGAGCTGTTGTGGGGCCTCTTGAAGAGAATCTTCATTCCTGGGGTTTGATGAGAACAGAGAGGTGATAATGGCAAGAAAGCCCGGGGACATGCTGCCCTTTCGTCAGCAGACTGAAGGTTTACCTTGCAGTCATGCTATTTGTGGGGGCTGTTCTACTGGTTTCTGGGGGCTGCACCACGATGCTCCACTCATAGGAGGGGTCATTGGCTCCAGCTAGTCTGAATAAGCCACCGCCCAACCAGAGCGTCCTGAAACCACGGCATCCAGTGAGACATCAGGGCTCACACACTCCGTGTGAGGTTTCCGGATGTGGAACCCTCCTAGGTGGCCGTCAGTGGGTGAACAGACAAACGTAATATGATATCTACATGCGATAGAACATTACCCAACCATGAAAACGAACCACATCTATCACACGCCACAGCATGGGCAAACCCTGAAAACATGATGCCAGGTGAAAGAAGCCAGACAAAAGGACGTATGCCACATCATTTCACCCCTCTGCGATACCTGCTTTTTAAAATTTTTATTTATTTGTTTGTCAGAGAGAGAGTGATCGCACAAGCAGGGGGAGTGGCAGGCAGAGGCAGAGGAAGAAGCAGGCTTCCCACTGAGCAAGGAGCCGAATGTGGGGGACTCAATCCCAGGACCCCAGGATCATGACCTGAGCCAAAGGCAGCCGCTTAACCGACTGAGCCAGCCAGGCACCCCACTTGTAAGATATCTAGAATAGAAAGATTCATAGAGACAGAGGGAGAGTGAAGGTTACCTGGGTGCAGTGGGGAGTTCTGGAGCTGGAAAGGGTGCTGGTCCGACAACGTTGTGGATGTAGTTATTACACTAAATGTACACTTAAAAATGGTTAAAATGGCAAAGGTTTTCTACTATGCATATTTTACCATAACAAAAAAAACTAAAGGTTTCCATTGGACTGTTACCCAAAAGCCCCAGGAGAGTGGGTCTTTCTCCCACTATCAGCATCAAAGTTCAGGTGTAAGCGCCCCTGGAGAAGCTTCACCCCCAAAAAGGAAAACATGTTAAGCCATCAGATGTTCTTCTAGCCGGTGGTTTCAGAAGAACATTCCCGCTCACAAACCCTGCTACATCCTGCACAGGGCTAGAGTTCAAAGACTATCTTCTTGCAAAAAAGATCACTCAGTTTCCAAAACCAACATCAGCCCCCCTTCCCCTGAGCCTTTTAGCACTTGATTCGTAGGCCAGACCAGTATTAGTTTAAATGAAAGGCGATCTGCAGAGCCGCGTAACCCACGGAGCCACTGTCCGCCTCCCCCCAGGGTGACCGAGCTGACCGGGTATGAGCCGCAGGACCTGATCGAGAAGACCCTCTACCATCACGTGCACGGCTGTGACGTCTTCCACCTCCGCTACGCGCACCACCTCCGTGAGTACCGCTCCCTGGAGCCGCCGCTGGGCTGTGGGCGGGGCTCGCTGTGGGCGGGGCTCGCCGTGGGCGGGGCTCGCCGTGGGCGGGGCTCGCCGGGGCTTGGGCAGAGCGGGGAGGAGGCCCTTGTCGCGTACCATGGTCACCCGCTGTGCACACGTGGATTTTAAAAGTCCTGCGCACTCCATCCACCCCTCCATTAAGCACAGCTATTGGTCTGTTCTCAGCCGTCCGAGCTCACCTTCCGGTGATGTGGCGGGGGTGGGATGGTGCGGAAGCTCCTGGATTGGAGATGGTGGATTTACAACCTGAACGTCTCTATGACATCTGGACACCGGCTGCAAATGAGGGCAACCAGCAAAAGAACCAGCGCATACAGAGTCCTTACTATTGTCGGGCACTGGTTTAAGTGGTTAAATATGTTGCCAGCCCGGTGAGGGAGCTTCTCCTGTTCATAGCTTTCTTTTACTGCTGAGGAGGAGCTGAGGTTCAGAAAGGTTCTGCCACTTGCCTGGGGTCACACTGTGAGAGGCAGCAGGCGGTCTCTGACCGCTGTCCACCACCTGGTTGGCAAGCTCAGGGGAGACCCCAGGTTCCCAGGATGGGAGAAGTCAGCATGGAAAGAGGGAATAATCAGTATTCGATTCGCCAAAGCAGACAGTTGGATGAACATCTGCATGGCATGGGGGTGGGCCTCAAGTCACTGAAATGTTTAAAGAAGTGACACTTTTCTTCCGGAATCCAACTTGAGGCAGTAAAGAATTGGCATGGAGCAGGATACCTCATCTTCTCACGGTCCAGCCTTCCTGCCAATGGCCGGCTCAGGGGTGCTTGGTAAGGGGGTGGAGAAGGTTGGAGGAGCCGGATCTTCTCCTGCCCCCATTCTCCCTTTGCTTTGTGTTGATGAGAAGGCGTTTGAGGATAAGTGGCTGGTGTCAGGCTGAGGGTGGACGGCAGGTCAAGGACTGCTCGCTCTGGCCACATTGTCTGCCTGCCCAGCCGTCTCTCATCCCAGTGGGCATGGCAGTCACTAGGGTGTCGCTAGGCAGACTCACACAGCTTCTTCCTGCTCCCTTTTGATTCACAACAGCGAGGAGAGGTCGCCGTGCATGGACAGACTCAGAGTTGTGAGCCGCCTTTGTATTTCTTGTGTTTCAATAACCAAATCGTGATACAAACATCCCTGTCGTTCTTGAAAGCAGCTTGGTCAGGAAGCAACTGCTGACCATTTGGACGGGATCTATAGGTTGGCCTCGATCCTATGGGGGCTGGTACAGGGGTAGGGAGTGTCGATTACAGAATGAGTTATTGGGGAGACTTGCTTGGCAGAGAGTAAGCTGAGAGTATGTGCTCTAGAGTCACGAGAGTGGTCGGGAGATGAAGAGGCATCTGCTTTGAGGGTGTGGAGCAGCAGCATCACCACGGAACAATCTAGAAGGGAAGAGAGGCGTGAGGGTCCTCATCTCCACACCACCTGGGGTATACCCTGGGAGGGACATTCCCAGTCACCACCACTACAGGTGGGGAAGGCAGGCAGCTGCTCTGAAAGCCTCCACCCCACAGGTCCCCAGCCCCCTTCTATGGAGGCAGGAGCTCGTCAGGACCCCTGATACCCAGCAAGCCCTGATATCCCCTCAAATTACCTGCAGGAAGAGTTGCTCCTCAAAGTGGGGCTGTACTGGAGGACATTAGGTCTCTAAGCCCGGAGAATGAAAACTTATGGAATTAAAAGTCTTCATTTTAAATCTCATTTTTAAAAAAAGATTTTATTTATTTATTTGACAGACAGAGATCACAAGTAGGCAGAGAGGCAGGCAGAGAGAGAGGAGGAAGCAGGCTCCCTGCTGAGCAGAGAGCCCGATGCGGGGCTTGATCCCAGGACCTTAGACCATACCTGAGCCAAAGGCAGAGGCTTTAATCCACTGAACCACCCAGGCGCTCTCATTTCTTTTTTTTTTTTTTTTAAGATTTTATTTATTTGTCAGAGAGAGAGAGAGAGAATGCACAGCAAGGGGAGCACAGGCAGACGGAGAAGCACGCTTCCCACTGAGCAAGGAGCCTGACGTGGGGCTCGATCCCAGAACCTGGGATCATGACCTGAGCCAAAGGCAGACGCTTAACTGACTGAGCCACCCCGGCGTCCCTTAAATCTCATTTCTTATCTCTGTGCTACCTGGCTCATAGAGGGGAGCAGGGATTTTTTTTTCCCCCAGGGGAAATAAATATAATTTGCACTTTGGAAATGTAATGAAAGCCACAGTGATGATCAGCATGAGGCTCTTGTGACCCCGACACAGTCTAGATGCTTTGCATGTGTCCATTCTGACCTTTCGTCATTGAGGGGAGCTGGGCGGCCCTTATGCCCATTGCCCAGCAGAGCAGATGAGCCCCAGGGGTGGAGGCCTGTGGCCGGACAGCAGCTGAGCCAGACAGGACCGGGGTCCAGGCTTGTTTGGCTCTCAAGCCTTGAGCGGTTTCCGCCACAAGGTGGCTCTTAGACGTGGAGACATGGGCCCGTCTTTGCTGCATCAGGAACCCCAATCTTCCCAAACTCACCCGGCTTATGAAGGGACTTTATTTATTTGAGAGGTCCTCTGCAGTTTGTATGACAAATTCACCTTATCCCACTTAGAATTTGGTATTTCTAGATATCTCGACAAGGGAGCCCTGAAAGGGAACACATTCACAGGCTTCCAGGAGACACAAGGAAAAGACAGAAGCATTTAGAAACCAGAGGGAGCACGGTGGTTTTTAAATTTTCCCCAAATGCACTAGAATTGGTAAATCAAAGAAAATTAAAAATAGCAATACTGACAATGATTGCCATTGTGCAGTGACCTTTGCGACAGTGGAGAAACCACCACGGGGACAGGAGGTAGAGAGCATATCGCAGCCAGGCTGAGGGGAGATGGGGCGTGGCCGGGGGATCCGCCATGAGCCCCATGTCTGTCTCAGACTCCCTTGCCCAGCTTTTCCTGACATAAACTAGAGCACCTTCAACAGTGAGAAATAGCAGAGGCTCTTACCACAAATAGGGGCGGGAATTAGTCTTCCAGAGCTCACACCTTGGCTCCAGGATTGGAACATTCTTTGGATATCCCCTTCAGGAAAGCCATTAATTTTGCCTTCAAAGCTGGGACTCTCAGACGAAGAAAGGGGACGTATTCAACATGCGGAGCGTGGTTTTTGGAAGCCGGGTCTTTGTGGGTGTGGAGCTGGGGCGGTTTTGAAATCTCTGTGTTGTGAGGTAGCTGGGGCTCTGAGTCTCCTTCCCACGCACAGAACTGGGGCCAGAGGGGCCAACTCCGGGAGCCGACCCTGAGCCTAGAGTTCAAGGACAGCAGTTTATTTGGACAGTGGCCAAAACATGGTCAAGGGAGAGAGAAGTAAGTCACGGAGGGGAAGGAGTCTTAAGAGGGACTTGTCTGTCTGGGACTCAGTCATGGCGCCAAGGCGGGTGGGCTGAGGCATTTACGTTCCTGTTTCTGCCAGTCATCGGCTGATGGCCGCTCTCGGGGCTGTTAACCCCCAGCTCCCCCACATCTGTCAGCGTGGGCTCTGCCAGAGAAAGGCCTCAGGGGGGAGATGGGGCCGTCAGAAGTCGCTGGGTGCACTCCCTGGTGAGGGATGCGATGAGGCATCTGTCAGAGCGAACGTCCAAAGGGCTGTGTCTCGTCAGCCTACCCCCCGCCCCCCCGCGTTGGTCTCTAGGCTTCGAGAAGGTGTTCTCCGTCCAGCCCTCCCTCCACAAGCTGCTCCTCACCTCCCAGCCCAGGTGGTCATCTTGTCCTCGCAGGCACTGGTCACCTCTCTCTGAGGGGCCCTGTCACCCCCACAGCCCAGGGGCCCAGTTGGTCAGTTTGAGTGTTGTCCACACCCAGACTCCTGCCCCGTGGGAGCTGGGGGAAGCCAAGCCTCACCCCACTCTTTCCAGTTCTGTTTTCACTCCTCGTATGGTGTCATCTGCTATCACCTCTCCTCCAGGAGGATGTGTCCGGCTCCTTCCAGCCCTGCCTGCTTTCACCTCACGCTGTTCGGATCCTTATGGAGACTGTACTGGTCTGCTTGGGCCGCCATGACAAAATACCCCAGGCTTAAATCACAGAAATGTGTTTCCTCACAGTTCTGGAAGCTTGAAACTGAGATCAAGGTGTTGGCAGGGCTGGGTTCTCCGGAGGCCTCTGTCCTTGTCCTGTAGATGAGCGTCTTGTTCCTGTGGCCTCACGTGATCGTCCCTCTGTGTGTATCTGCGTCCTCATCTCTTTTAATTATAAGAACACCGGCCATATTGGATTAGGGTTCCCTCCCCCACCCCCGTCATTACTTCATTTTATTTCTGTTACTTCTTTAAAGCTCCTATCTCTAAATACAGTGACATTCTGAGGTACTGTGGGATGGGGCTTCAACATACGAATCTGGGTAGGACACAGTTCAGTGCATGACGGGGACTTTCTCTCAGAGCTCTGTGTCCTTTAGTAGACCCAGCTGGACAGGCCGGCTTCAGGGGGACGGGTGAGAGAAGTCTGAGAAGGCAGGATTCATCATTTGGAAACGTGACTTTTCAGTCCTGTCCCGTGGTGCTTCAGTAACTGATGGCAGAGCTCTGGGCCGGGCACCAGCCTCCTGCCGTCCAGGCTTCACCTAGATCCTGGATCCACACTGGGCCATGCCAACCTAGGACTCAAGTCCTTCATTCTCATCACAGCTGGAGCTGGCTTGTTGTTTGCCCCAGGAGGGCAGGCACGCCACTTCCTTTCTGCCACGACAGAAGGAGGCCAGAGATAGCCAGGACTATGGCGACCCTCAGAACTCCAAGGCCTTGGGGGGGGGCACTGGCCTCCTCTCCCAGGGGAACACACAGACACATCCGTCTTCGTAGTTGATGAGGTCACCGAGCACAGGAAACATCTGCCAGCACCCAGGGAAGTCACTGTCCAATTTTCCAAGGCCAGATTTTCTCCACACTGGCGTCCCAAACCCAGGAATCCCGGGAGATGGGG